AAAGGAAAGACCATTGGCTTGGTACATTCAGTCCTTGGCTAACAGACTTGTCAGGTTGGATATTTCAGAGCCCAATCGAGTTCTTGTATGCATCGTCACTCAGTCTTTATTATTCGAGCAGATCAAAGCTCGTTAGTTCGACGATCCACACTTATTGGTTCTCAGAGAGACGGTACTACAGGGTGGTACCAAGAAGGTTGTTATCCGCGAGTGTTCTGTGGCTCCAGGGTCGCCTATGTGTTCCTAATGTTGATGTCTTGAGGAAGAAGATTCTACAGAAGGCACACAGTTCTCGATATTCTATTCATCCAGGGGCTACGAAGATGTATCGTGACCTGATAAAGTATTATTGGTGGTGGCGGATGATGACGGACATAGTTGAGTATGTTGCGAGAGTCTAAATTTCCAGCAGGTCAAGTATGAGCAACAGAGGCCAGGTGGCCTACTTCAGCAGATGGTTAAACCTGAGCGAAAATTGGAGTGTATCACTATGGACTTCATAGTTGGGTTGCCGCAGACCTTGAGGATGCTTGATGTAGTTTCGGTCATTATCGACACGTTGACCAAGTTAGCACACTACATTCCGGTTGTGTCTATGTATTCTTCAGAGAGATTGGCCCAGATTTACATTCAGGAGATTGTTCAGTTTGCATGGTGTGCATGTTTCCATCATATCAGATATAGGCCCTCAGTTTACTTCACATTTCTAGAGGGTAGTAAAGAGTGAGTTGGGGACTCGGGTAGAGCACAGCACAACCTTTCATCCGCAAACCGACGAGCAGTCGAAGCGGATGGTTCAGATCTTGGAGGATATGCTCAAGGCATGTGTCATTGACTTCGGAGGGCAGAGGGATTGATTCTTGCCTTTGGCCAAGTTTTCTTATAACAACAGTTATCAGTCTAGTATTGAGATGGCCCCATTTGAGGCTTTGTATGGTCGGCGATGTCGTTCGCCCATCGGATGGTTTGAGCCCGGCGAGGCTAAGTTATATGGTATTGATTTAGTGAAGGATGCCTTGGAGAAAGTGAAGTTGATTCACGAGCAACTTCACACAGCACAGTCCAGATAGAAGAGTTATGCGGATCATAAGGCGTGTGATTTATCATTTATGGTGGGCGAGAAGGTTCTCTTGAAAGTCTCGCCGATGAAGGGGATCATGAGGTTCAGGAAGAGGGCAAGTTGAGCCCAAGGTTCATAGGTCCATTTGAGGTATTGAGGAGAGTTGGGGAGGTTGCTTATGAGCTTGCCTTACCTCCAAGTATATCGAAAATTCATCTGGTTTTCCATGTTGTGTTGTCTATGCTCCGAAAGTATCATGCCGACAGGTCACGTGTGTTAGACTACAGCACGATTCAGCTAGATGAGAGCCTAGGTTATGAGGAGGAGCTAGTTGCCATTGTTGACAGGCAGGTTTGCTAGTTGAGGTCCAAAAAGATTTCTACGGTAAAGGTTCAGTGGAGGGGTCAACCAGTAGAGGAGACGACTTGGGAGACCGAGGAGGACATACGAAATAGATACCCACACCTATTCGGCACTCCAGGTATGATTCTAGACCTGTTTGAGGATGAACATTTGTTTAAGAGGTGGAGAATCTAACGACCCGACCAGTCGTTTTGCCTTCTAGATCTCTATTCTCCTAAATAAGACTCCCCGTATATGCTTTTACTTTTTTATGACTTGTGAGGATTGTTAGTTCGGGTTTGAAAGGGTTCAGGTTAAAATCAGAACACCTAGTTCCTTAATATTGGCTTAAAATGGTTAAGTTTGACTTGAGTCAACGTTTTGAGTAAACGACCTCGAAATCGAAATTTGACGGTCCCAATAGGTACGTATGATGATTTTGGACTTGGACATATGTTCGGATCGGGTTTCGGATAACCTGGGAGCATTTCGGCGCTTAATAATAAAAGTTGGAGCATTGAAGGTTTTCAAGTTCTTTAAGTTTGCTTTGGAGTAGGTTTTGGTGTTATCGAGGTCCATTTGGGATTCCGAGCCTGGGAATAGTTCCGTATAGTAATTAAGACTTGCACGCGAAATTTGGTGTCATTTCGAGTAGTCTAAGTATGATTCGATGCGTTCAGAGCAAGTTGAAAACATGAAGTTCATAATTTGATTCAATTTGGTTTTGGAGTGCAGTTCTTAGTTTTGATATTGTTTTTCATGTTTTAAGGGATCGAGCAGGTCCGTATTATATTTATGGACTTATTGGAGTATTTGGACGAGGTCTTGGGTGGCTCGGGTAAGTTTCGGAACGCCCATAACTATGTCCCAAAATTCTGGTGTGCTGGTTCTGGTTTCCTTCTCCGCAATCGCGAAAGCTGTGTCGCGTTTGCGGAGAAGGAAAATGTGGGGGATGATATTTTGCTCTACGCATTCGCGACCCCTTGCCCGCGTTTGCGAAGGTCTGGGACCTGTGGCCTCCGCGTTCGCGTAGGGACATGGGCCTCGAGGGTGTGAGCTCCTTCTTCTTCGCGTTCGCAAGCTGGACCCCGCGTTCGCGTGTGGGACCTCGCGTTCGCGATGGCCATTTTCCGTGGCCCTAGGCAGATTGCCTTCGCAATCGCGATCGCGGTCTCTTTTCCGCGATCGCAAAGAAGGAATGCCTGGGCAGTGACTTGTTTTAAAAATGGGGCTTAGGCCATTTTCTCTCATTTTTCATTTCCTTGGCCGATTTTGGAGTTTCTTGGAGAGGGGTTTTCACCTAGCTATTGAAGGTAAGTTATTCCTACCCAATGTAAGTTTAATACATAGATTTTAGGTAAATTTTAAATGTAAAATGTGGACATTTTGGAGATTGTTGAGAAACCTAGGTTTTGATAAAAATGAGATTTAACCACAAAAATGATTAGGGAATTGGGTAGAAATTATATATTTGAATTCGTGAGGTTATGGGTAACAGTTATTTTCAAAAATTTTCGAAATCCGGGCACGTGTGCCCGGGGGTGAATTTTAAGGATCTTCCAATTTGGGTTGGGTAATTTCTCTAATGGCTAAATTATGAACTTATGAGTGTGTATTGATTAATTTATATAATATTTGGCTAGTTTCGGATTGATTGGCACCAAGTTGAGGCTTAAGAGCGGATTTATGGACCGGAAGTGAGCTTGAGAACGAGGTAAGTCTCTAGCCTAACCTTGTAAGAGGGAACTCATCCCCTTAGGCAGTGGCGAGGCCACATGGTTATAAGGGTGGTCAACTGACCACCCTTCGTCGAAAAATTATACTGTGTACATAGGTAAAATATTATATTTTAGAGGTATATAACACATATTGAACACCCTTTGTCATAAAATTTTTACTTTTTTAAAATTTGAACACCCTTGGAGAAATTTCAAGCTTCGCCACTGCCCTTAGGTGTACTTTTGTTGTGCATTACTTGTGTGGGGAGCTATGTACGCATGAGGTGACGAGAGTCCGTGCGTAGCTATATTTCACGATATGTCCGGGTAGTCTTAGATCCACATCATGCTTTAATTGTACTGTTGTGTTTATTATGCATATTAATTGTCTTGAATAGAGCTGAAACTAGGGATTTTAAAGTTGCAAATTTTCAATTTAAATTTATTATTTTGGGAAGAATTGAGGAATACATAATAACTCTGAGAAATCCATGTCCTTTCGCGTCGCAAGTACTTCCGTGAGCGAGGTAAACTTCTTTACTCTCATGGGAGCGGGTCGTTCGCCTCGGCAGTATAATAGATGAATCTATGGTTCGTGTCGTTCGACCCTCAGCAGTGCACACATTATTTTGGATCGGATCGTACGACCTCGTCATAAATCGTGCATGATAATACTCCGAGCCCGAATACACTTGATATTATTTTTATGACTTGAGATGTTATTATTTATTTAATGGCCTGAAATTGTTAAAGTTAGCGTGGGTCAATTGGAGACTTTTAAATTGATTATAAGTTAAAGAACCATTTATTCATTGTTGGTTATTGTGTTATTTTTATTATTCATGTATTCCATGCCTATGTAGAATTTTTGTATTTATATTATTGGCCCGTAGTAAATGTCGATATCGGCCCCTCGTCACTACTTCTTCGAGGTTAGATTGGATACTTACTGGGTACATATTATTTATGTACTCACGCTACACTTTTGCACTAATCGTACAGGATCTGAGGCAAGTGTATCTGGCGTTCATTCAGGCGCGCACCCCCGTCATCCTGAGGCATAATGGTGAGCTGCTCTCTGAGTCCGTTCTGTAGCACCCGCAGTCTCTCTTTTGTATTTATTTTCTGTCTATCTTGTTTCAGACAGTAGCATAGGTGTTTTGTATATTATACTAGTTTCTCATACACTTGTGACGCCGGATCTTGGGAATATGCTAGTAGACACTTCATGATTTTTGGTATTTATTTCTCGTGTCTTGCTCTTTCATTGGTTCACGCCTTATCTTAATATAGTTTTTCACTTTTTATTTACTTAATAAATAAAAATTAACTATTTTGAAATTATTAAAGAAAATAAATACATGGCTAGTTCATCGTTGGTTTACTTAGCGACGACGTTGGGCGTCATCGCGTCCTATAAGGGAAATTGGGTCGTGACAATTTTAATATATTTAATTTGTTTTTTATCAACATATTATTAGAACGATAAATTTAAACTTTTTATAACCGAACATCGTTAGTTACGTCCTTAGATTTGAAATACCAGCATCCAAATATAAAGCCATACATATAAAGAATTGGCATAAACTGTGGGACAAGAGTGGGTTGCTCTAGTGGTGAGCACCCTCCGCTTCCAACCAAGAGGTTGTGAGTTCAAGTCACCCTAAGAGCAAGGTGGAGAGTTCTTGTCGGCTATGTCTATCGGAAACAAACATAGGATATTCTTGTAGCTAATTAGCAGTAACCAAAAAAGGTTGCAAATATAACTACGAAGAAATTGTTAAAATACAAGTAATTTTTTAACTATGGTTAAAAATAATAATTATAGTTATATAAGGTAATATGTGTTATATATTTATTAATCGGATATAGAGATAAAGTTTTATCAAATTTCAATCACATATAATTTAATCGTTTAGAATATATCTAAAAAATTAGTAAGAACTCAATCAATTTTAGAACAATCAGCCGCGCTGAAGGTATTGATCTTACATACATAGATGCGAGAATAAAACAAAGATAGCAAGAAATATAATTACTGGATAACTAGACGCCTAGTGCAGATGGTCCAATAATATTTACGTTTTTTCTTGAAAGAAAGCGGAACAAAGCAGAGTCTCCACTGGCTCTCCAAATCCACAGCTTGAATCATCCCTCCACAGTAAGGACAAGCCCCTGCTGCTGCCTGTCTTTGTAGAAACCTTTCATCTTCATCGCAAACAAATACAAAGCACATCTCCTTAAAGTTTTTTATGTTCCTCCTCTGCTTAGTTCTTTATGTATACCTTTACTTATATTTGATTAATTGAATATTTAACAATCAACCAGTTTCCTCTTTCTGGATTGATTTGATTGTCAAAGAAGAAAGATGTTAAAACTGAAGCTAAGTTTATTATTGTATATGGTAGAACAGAGCTGGGTTAAAAGGATGATGGGTTTGGGGGTTAAAAGGGCCAGAAATATATATTTACAAGGACGTGGGAATCTAGTAACATCTGCACCTTTTTCTTAGATATGAAGATTCAAGTAACAAACAAAAACCGTGTTGACTGTTGAGGTATGCTTAATTTTCTTTTCGATTAACTTGAACAGGGAACACTAGATTGTTCTATCTTAATATCTTGTGTGAACTGATCAAACATATTTTTCATCAAAGATACTTGTCAACTGCATAGATTAACCATATCTTATTTTTAACGGGAATTTTGTTGAGTGCTAAATTTTATGTCACATGTAAGTAGATAAGATTGTTGACTTGTTTCGTGTATTATTTAATGTACAAAATACATGACATGAAGAAGCACGCAGAGAATGAGTAACAGATAAATTTATGTTCATAAATAATTGAGAAAATAACGTCTAATAAGAGTTGAAATCGTCTATTCATAGTGTATTGCCGTGCTCTCACGACTGGGTACTGACCATATAAATATAGAGAGAGATTTTGATTGCCGTGCTCTCACGCCCAATTATTCACGTCTTCTTTTTATAGTGATTTTGACAATTTGGCCCACAGAGCTGCTCTCCGTCCGTGGCAAAGGTGAAAAGATCAAAGCATGGATTACACATTCCACAAACAAATGGGCGAGTGACGAGCATCATCAAGTTCCACAAAACCCTTTTTCTCTTTTGGCGTCTGGTCATTAAGTACAGATTTATTCTAAACATACCCGTATTAGTTATGTAGCATAAAATCACGGCGGGTTAATATAGTTTGCCCCGTTAGTTGGGGGCCAAATCTTTTCGACACACCTCTCCCATACGAACAAACTGTATATTCTGCCTAAAATCATCAATATCTGGATTTAATTATCCATTTCATCAAGTGGTATTGTTAAGTTGGATCCCGAAAAGCTATTTCAATAAAGACAAATAAGAATGTTAAGACTAAAGATTAACTACTTTTAACATCTACAATGTGTTGGTGTTATATACATTTTAATATTAGAACTATAACATTAAAGTACATTATTTCTTGTGAGATAGTGGATATAAATTTGCAAGAAGATAATCATTTTCTTTAGTGTAACTCATGAAACTAATAATGTCATGATCTATCACTAATTAGCCACGAAAGATTAAATTTTATAACCACCAATCATTTTCTGTAATTTTTACTATCTCATTGCCTTATTATTTATTTCATGGAGGAGATTCTACACCTATAAATATTACGGTTTCTTCCTTGTGTTTGGTATGGAAAAATATTGAAAAATTTACCTAACTATACTATACTAGAAACGTATTTACCACATTTATTTAGGTTCCTTATAAATTACTTTTTATATCTATATTTACAAGTTATATACAAAACCATAAAAAGAAGAAAATTCAAGTTCCCTTAAATTTAGCCTATCAGTTACACGACACCCACCCTTATTTCCAATAATTCCCCTACATTTAAGATTTTGTTCCTTTTTCAAACGATATCAAAAATATTTTCTCTCTTTCTTAATAATCACCCAAAATCTCTATTTTTTTTGGTAACCCCTCCCAACCCACCACCCACCCACCCGCACAAAAAAACTAATGATTCTTTTCCATTTTCAAAGGTCTTCAAATCCAACTTCTCTCTTTCTTACTGATCACCCAAAATCTCTCTTTCTTATTGATACAACGTAGACGAAATTCGGAATATTTCTCTAAAATCATTTTTTTTTCTTTATTTTGTCTCTCTTTCAAGCTTTACTCTGCATTAACAATGGCTTCACTAATAATAAGAATCATTATATGACTTTTTTTTAATAGAAATCTTCCCAAATTGCTATATCTTCACTAAAATCTTACGGGTTTGAACTTCGATTTGCAGCTGCTCTCTTCACTGATAGGTTAAAAAATATGAATTATATGATAATTGTATCATATTTGTTTTAGAATTGAATCACAACTGTATCAAAATTGTATGTGACTTGTATATGATATATCAATACTCAAAATAATACTTGATACAATACTAATATAATTATAAAACGACTATATAAGATTTTTAGTGTAGAGTTGCGATTGAAACTTGAATAAGATGAAGATCATAATTGTATCACAATTTTTTAGAAATGCATCACATTTGTATTATAATTGTATATGTATCATAATTCTTGCATGAGTTGTATTACAAATGTATGATAATTGTATATTTATTGTATATTGTTACAAGCAGTTGGTGAGTTTGTAGCCAATTTCATAGTTTGTATCACAAATATATGATAATTGAATATTAATTTATTAGTATTGTATCATGTATTGTTTTGGGTATTAATGTATACACGTTAGATACAATTGTGATACAAATATGATATAATTATGTTTTAGGCATTGATGCATCTGATACAATTCAAATACAATTATCATACAATTACTGCAACTTCTTCTTTTCGGGTTTCAATATGAAATTTCACATAAAACCAACTTTATACCTAACTAATCTCCCTCATAAGTGAAATATAAACTCCAAAGCATATTCTCAATCATTTGCAAGAATATTCAATCCAAATAAATCACAAAACTGAAAATATGAATATCGAATTCAAAGTTTCAAAACTTTTTAATGGAACAACATTGGAAATAATTCTGGCAACAATCTGAATGTTTCTTCATTTTTAATGTTGTCTAGTCTCCCAGCAAAAGAACTGTGATGACCCAGAAGGTCATCTTATGTTTTAGAACTCTAATTTGCACTCTTAAGCCGTCAAAATCTTATTTTTACCCTTCTCGATTTGTGTGCGCAGTCCGGGCAGATTTTCGAAAGGCTTTTATGTTGAAAACTAATAAAAATAATAATTTTTGCCTTAAAGGTTGATTTTAGTTGACGTCGGTCAACATTTTTGGTAAATGGGCTCAGATCCGTGCTTTGATAGTCCCGGTAGGTCCGTATCAAATTATGGGATCTAGGCGTATGCCCGGAATTGAATTCGGAGGTCCCTAACTTAAGTTATGAATTTTTGATGAAAATTAAAAGTCTAAAAATTATTTATTTTTAAGAATTGATTGATATTTGACATTGTTAGTATCAGGTCCGTATTTTAGTTTCGGAGCCCGGTACAGGTTCATTATGATATTTAAGACTTGTCTGTGAAATTTGGTGAGAAACGGAGTTGATTTAACGTGATCCGGACGTCAAGTTGAGAAGATATGAGTTTTAAAGTGTTTTTGAGATTTTCATTTGATTTGGTGGTAAATTCATAGTTCTAGGTATTATTTTGGTGATTTGATCGCGCAAGCAAGTCCGTATGATATTTTTAGACTGGGCATGTTCGGTTTGGAGCCCCAAGGGCTTGGCTGAGTTTCGGATAGGCTACGGAGTGAGATTTGGCTTAGAAAACACTGCTGGTGCATTTGATATTATAGCAGGCCTCTTATCTCGCATTTGCGAGATCAGGCATCGCAATTGCAACTTCTGAGAGGTTCGCATTTGTGAGCTTCTCATCGCAAATGTGAAGAGAAGCTGGGCCAATAGTTTTCGCATTTACGAGTTTTCTTTCGCAATTGCAAAGGGAGTCGGGGAAGGGCAGTGATCGCAAATGTGATCATTTAGTCGCATTTGCGAAGATGGGCTGGGACTGGGATTCTCGCATTTGCGAGATTTTCATCGCATTTGCGAGGGTTCAATGTTCGCAATTGCGAACAAATGGTTCGCATTTGCGAAGGCAGTAGAGATGCGAGGAGTTCGCATTTGCGATACTTTTCTCGCATTTGCGGGCTTTGCAATTGCGAAGCCCAGGTCGCAAATGCGACATCTGCAGCTGATCAAAATGACTTTTGGACGGGAATTTTCATTCATTTCCCAAATTTTCAAGACCTAAAACACAAGAAGAGATTTTTCCAAAGACCATTTATTCCGCAAATCATAGGTAAGTGATTCTAAACTGGTTTCTTTCAATATTTCACTACATTTTACAAGATTTCAACCTAAAATCTAAGGTTTTCATGATAGAATTAGGGGTTTTGGGTAGAAACTAGGGATTTCTAAATTTGGGGATTTAGACCTCGAATTGAGGTCGGATTCCAAAACCAATTGTATATCCAGGCTCGGGGGAGAATGGGTAAATGGATTTTGGTCCCAACCTCGAGTTTGGACCAAGCGGGCCCGAGGTCGATTTTTGACTTTTGTTGGAAAAACTTAGGAAAACTGTAATTTTGCAGTAAAGTTGATTCCTTTAGCGATAATTGATGATATTAAACTAATTATGATTAGATACGAGTGGGTTGGAGGTGTATTCTAAAGGGAAAGCGATACTTGAGCAGTAAGTGGCTTGCGAAATTGAGGTAAGTATTGTGTCTAATTTTGGCTTGAGGGAATATGTATTGTGTGAGTATTTGCTACGTATTTTGTTGTTGAATATGATGTATAGTTGAGGTGACGAGCATCTATACGTTGTGGTCGAGTCATAGCATGTGAGTGAAATTCCATTCTTGCAAATTTATAGTCTTAAATCTTGTTATCCATGCTTATTGTTGTTGTTGAAATATTGGGAGACTTGTCTCCCGTTCTACCAAGGTCGATAAAATTGTGAATATTGATTTGAGGTTGAGATGTTAAATTGTGAAAGTAATCATTGATGAAATATTGATTTCTTTGTGAAACTTCTCTCTATCCGTTGTTATTTATTCTGTGAATTGTGAGGAAGAGCGTAAAGCACGAAGGGTGATGCCGTGCATGATTTATTTATATTGTGAGGAAGAGTGTAGAGAATGAAGGGTGATGCCGTGCATGATTTATTTATATGGTGTGGAAGAGTTTAAAGCACGAAGGGTGATGTCGTGCATGATTTATTTATATTGTGAGGAAGAGTGTAAAGCACGAAGGGTGTTGCCGTGCAATCTTATTTATTATTTGGTGAGGTTGAGAGTAAAAGCACGAAGGGTGATGCCGTGTAGTTTTCCTTGCTTTCTTAATTGCTCATTTCTTTTAAGGATTTCCGGTTTAATTCTGTCCTTTTCATTATTCTCACTCTTTATGTTGTATTCCCCC